CTTGGGTAAACAGATAGCCTTCCTCACTCACACACTCCTTCAAAATTAGCTACAGTATTAATTCCACAATATGAGTGGCAGTTGGGAAGCAGGAGAATCAGAAAACCCCCATCCACCCCAAGGATCAGGTTCCAGTAAATGGTCTAGCTATCATGGTCTAGCTATCAGTCAAAACTTGTTTCCTTTCCAGTCATATAACAGGGAGAGCAATTAATGAATTCTTCTCCTAATGGCAGAAAATCCAACAGTTACATATATATATATGTATGTGGTTTGTATGTGTGTATGTGTATGTGCATATGTACCTATTTGTTGGTCCAGCCAGCCAGCCGGCCAGCCAACCAACCGGGCTTTTCTTTGCTTGGTCCCATATTAAAGCTGTCAAGACAGCACTGCTCAAGGCAGTACACAGGTTCCCTGTTAGGGCAAAGTAAATTATCCTGTCCTACTTTTGTATCCCTTTACTAAATGGAAAATATATTAAATCAATGGTCCCAATCAAGCGTCTTTCCCATTACCCACAGGCTGTTGGTTCTGGATAAAAATGTTAATGATTGATTCTGAGACCTACTACATTAGGGCGTGTCAAATTTTTCAACTTTCAATTTCCAAACATTAGGGGTGCTCAAAACTTGTGACATGCCTTGGGGATTGTAAAGATATTTTGGTTACTTTAATATAATTTAGATGTGCTTGGTAAGTAACTACATAAATATCATAACATATACTTTCATTTACAAAGTATATTGATGAGTGTATTTAACTATTTTATCAGTTTTCTTTGTTTTGAGTAGGTGGTTCAGGGGCATCTCTTCAGTGCTTTTCTACAGGGGCTTAATTCATCTTGATGGATAAGGCTTTTGATTGGGTTTGCTCTTAGATTTAGCTTTAACATACTGTACATGCAAAAACATTCATGTTCACTCAGTGATATGGAACATCTTCTCTGACCTTGTCTTACAGTAGAAATTATGACTGTCTTGGAAAGGGATAACCATTTCATTTATTAGTAAGGAGTAATGCAGTTTTAAGATTTCTAGAAGCTAGGATTCATTGGAGCCAATGCTTTGAACATATTGGAACTCTTTCAATAGTGGGAACATCTCCTTGGAAACAAGCAAAACATTAATGATTGTTGCACCCATTTGTAGAATTCTCCTTCATTGATCATCAAAGACCAATGATATTTTCTTTTTATAGCCAGACAAATATCTCTTAATTTTCCTGAACATTTTAATCTTTAAAAAATATGTATTGTTTTAAAAATAACTGATTCTTGAATTAGAATGTGTGAAGATTATATATAAATATATATATTTACAAGCTGCTTTAGTAGAAATATTGCTGAATGACATTATAAGCATTTAATATTTTTCATTTCTTTTCTGGGCATCTTTTATTCCTCATGCTTGAAATCTCCTTCCTACTCAAAATCTGTTTCAATGACTTTACTTTTCCTGTCTCACTTAAATTTTACAGCTTTTGTGTGAGGTTATTTGCCTTGCTGTGAAAATTACACTGGGGAAATATGATGGCATGCAAGGACACTTTATGAAATGCTTGCATCCCCTGAAGTTATGGGAACTACATAAAGAAGTTGTCAATGTTAGTAAAGCCACTCAGTCAGCCATTATCTCTCTATCAGTTGATCAGCATACCAGGCTTTGGGCCTGCTTCCCACCCCACTGGGTCCCATCCCCACCTCCCCACCCTCACCTCCCTACCCCCCACCCCCCACCCATTGCAATTCTGTCCATCTTATTTTTTCATATATCTCCTTTGGCAAGCAGCTGGTCTGCTTAAGTAGTCTTTCTAAACGGAAGCTACATGGAGCTGTCCTGGCCTTCCTACATGGAGGCTGCGTGGCATGATGTCCCAGAAGTGGGCCCATTTTGGGAGCAGCCACAATTCATTACACCTGCTCTAAAATGGTGCCTGCTTTGGCATGGTGCCACATGACCTCTGTACTGTATAGGGAGGCCAAGGGGCGAATCGGTTAGCTCTTCTTCCCGGACATGATATTTGAGACTACCTGTACTGTGCTTCTTTTATATGCTTATCTTTCATGAGGATATACAGAGTATTTTTATTGCACATTACTTGTAATAAGGCTTCACAGACTCAAACTGGAGAATTAATGGAATATAGGATTCCACGTGGTTCAGTACATTTGTGAAAAATTTAATCTGAAGTAGTTTTAAATGCTAACATATCCAAAAGAGCTTCTGGGACACAATATTTAAAGAGATGAAAGCCTTCTGTTTTGTTATCAGTATGCATAATAAATAATAATGAAAATTCTCAGTTCTCCATTTGCCAGTTGTTATGTAACCGCAACAGCATTTCTAACAATAAAAAAGAAAAGTAGTAGTTTCAAGAGGCTCCTGGGGTTTTTTAAAAGGAAAAACACACACCTCTAAATCATATTATGCATGCATGCATGCATGCATACATACATACATACATACATACATACATTACATACATACATACATTACTTACATACATTACTTACATACATACATACATACATACATACATACAATATTCGCTACTGATATAAATAATTACACTAGAATTTTTCATATAAATTACACCTGACCAAATTGTATTTTTATATATACAATGAAACCAAATTGCTCCTCTTTCCTTCCAGCCTTCCCAGCATTAGAGCCTTGTCCAGAGAGCTAAGTCTTTACATATTATCTCCAGAGTTGGATGAATTGAGTCTGGTCATTTGTACCTTGAGTGAGAGCTTTGAGTTGATTTGTATCATGGTCCATTTGTTTATTCCCTTAGTTGTCCACAAGGTCAGGAGTCTTCTCCAAACCCAAAATTGGAAGTGTCAATAGTCATCTTATCTGCATCTTCAAAGTCCATTACTTTTGTTTGTTTGTTTTTAATTTGAGAAAAATTGAAGTAAAATTAATAAGGCGCAGCTAGAGAGAATGCCAGAATCATAGCATTGGAAAATAGCACGTGAGAATTAGCATCTGGATGACTTCTAGAAAGACTCACCACATTATGTAGCAGCCAGTCATAGAGTTTCATTTTATATATACATTTCTTTATATTATCTGCGCTATCATGAGAGCAATCTGTATTCTACGAGAGTGGAAATATACAAGTTCTAAGAAAACTATTCCCCAAACTTGGAGGTGGAACAGAAAAAAATTCTGGCAAGATGCAAGCAGTCCCTTGGACACACTTCCTGCACATCTTGAATAAGAATTTGAACTTTTTTTTTTTAAAGAATAAAAACCGAGGCGAGTGGAATATGACATGCAGTTCATCCACCCAGATTTTTTTGTAGTGGATTTGGTAGAATCCACTAATTTTTTATTTTTTTTGGTCAGTAGAAAGAATTATCACTGAGGATTTGTGAGGAAACATTTCCTCTTATAGCCTACAGCATTCTCAAAATGTGCTCAGGAAAATTCAAACTTTTAAGAGCAGATTTTGAAAGTCTGCAGGGTTCTGTAGATGAGAGGAAAAAATCTTACTGAATTAGTCTACTAGTAGATTGCTGGATTGTGTACTGGTTGTTTTAAAACTGTAAAACATTGTGACAAAATGGATAGAAGACCTTCATATAATGTTTGCTGCATTGGTGCTACAGAAAATATTTGGATCCTGTCAAATTAGATCTAAATGGAGGAGGAAGGGAAGAAAAAAAGTTAAATAAACATTGATTAATCATGTTCAGATCTGTTTTGTTTTCTAGTATAAAAATGTAATTTTCAGAGAGAAAATAAGTAATAGTAACAGAAAAACAGTAACCTCTTTTAATCTTTGGTGTAGTGCAACAGTCTCCAACCCCTGGGCTGTGGCCCACTACCACATTCAGAACTGGACCGCATGAACAGTGTGGGAGCATGTGTGAACTTCAGGCGCTGGCGCTCACAGCCCCACTTGCACTAGCTGTGTGGGGTGTGCCTGCCCCTCACACAAAACATCCCCTCTTCTTCTCCCCTCGGCCGGACCACCGACCTGGAAAGGTTGGGGAACGCTGGTCTGGTGGTTAAGGCACCAGAGTAGAAAGCAGGACACTGTGAGTTCAAGTCCCTTCTTAACTATAAAAGCCAGTTGGGTGTCTTAGACCAGTCATTGTCTCTCAGTCCAACTGGTCCCCTAGAGTTGTAACAGTGGGGAAACAGGAGGAGGAGCAGAGGTGGTATTCAGCAGGTTCTGATCAGTTCTGGAGAACCGGTAGCAGAAATTTCGAGTAGTTCGGAGAACCAGCAAATACCACCTCTGACTGGCCATGCCCCATTTATTCTCTACCTCCCAAGTCCCAGCTGATCAGCTGGGTGTTCTTTTGTTGCCCTGCACAGGAGAACAGAACTGGAAAGCAGGTTAGTGGGGTGAATGGGATTTTGCACTAACCTTCCACCTGGAGTGGGGAGGGAATGGGGATTTTACAATATCTTTCTCCTGCCACACCCATCAAGCCACAGCCACCAAACCATGTCCACAGAACCAGTAGTAAAAAAAATTGAATCCCACCAGTGAGGAGGAGGTGTGTTGTTTATGTTCATTGCCTTGAATTATTCATAAAAATAATAAAGGTGGGATACAAATAAAGGACTAACAAAATAAAACATGTCACAGGCAAGTGACCAGCCTGGGATGAATTCAAATTCCTCACTATTAATAATGAAGGTTTAGCAATGCAACAGTTTTAAATCTCATTGATAAGAATTTTTATAAAACAGAATTGCTTAATTTTGATTTAACTGAATCATAGTTTGAAAGGGATATACATATGAAAACAAAATGCACGGCCCTTAATTTTCAGAAAGTGAGTATCCACTACCAAAACAACATATTGTGGCAGTATTTCCTCTCCTCTCCCATCACCTCTTCCACCTCTCAGTGATTTCCCCCACCTCCTCCTATTTCACAATCTTGCATCCTTCCTTATTATTATGGCCATCAATTGCCTCACATATTTTATATCTAGATATTTAACACCATGTACAACTGTTTGTTTTTGTTAGGCAAGACCAGAACAAAAGACAAGTACCGCGTTGTATATACAGACCACCAGCGGCTGGAATTGGAGAAGGAATTCCACTACAGTCGCTACATCACCATCCGGCGGAAAGCAGAGCTGGCAGCAGCCCTTGGACTCACTGAGCGGCAGGTGAGTGCTTCAGAAATCCCTCCAGTTGCAAACCATCACCCTGTTTTTAAATTACACAGGCTAATTAAGCAGAGTGGCCAATGTTCCGGATATTTACTATCATTTATATATACACAAATTAATATTCATTTGGAAATAAATGGATGGACTTTTATATAAGCATGAAGAATTTGTTTCATTTTAATTGCTCCCTGAACCGTTATATGAATAAAAATGCACTCATATTTCAGTATGCACACTTTTCTGAAATTTGCAAAGCATTTCCTCTGCAATATTTATCTACAAATCCATTCTGTTCCTTTGTGAAAATAAGTAACAGTTCACCACTCAATCCTTCATATTAATGGTAAACTATGATAGATTAGGAGGAACTGTTTCCCTAAGCCCTTTCTTAATTTTATGGCCTTCATTTGTCTCTGCAGGTGAAAATATGGTTCCAGAACCGGCGAGCAAAGGAGAGGAAAGTGAACAAGAAGAAGATGCAGCAGCAAACGCAGCCGGCCAGTACAACCACACCTACCCCACCAGCGGTCGGCACTCCCGGCCCTATAGGCGGCATCTGCAGCAGCACCACCAATCTAGTTTCCACCTCACCAATGACTATCAAGGAAGAATTTATGCCTTGAACTCAGCCTTTCCATTATATCTCCAGACTAACGTACCCAGAATGATACGGATTTCCCCGAGAGTCAAACTAGTTGTCAGACTCTCAACACTGGAAGCTAGTGGCTTTTTCTATATGCTACTCTAGTGGACAAATGTAATCAACTCATTCCTAGGAGTTAAAAACCAAATAGGCCTCTGTTGCTATTAGAGAAAGACTTGCTGTTGTCTCAGACAGGGGAGGAAGCATGGGTGTTTGGGAAGAAAGAAACAAGGAAGTGGTGTACTTAGGGGGGAAAAAAATCTGAATCTTCATCTGATCTGGATCAGAATTTATAGAGTCAGGTGATTCACAAGTTTAATTAATTATTAAATTATGTTTTATCATTACTCAGGCCTTGTTATGTGGGTCAAAAAGTCAGGAGCCAAGTGACTTATTCCAAGCCCAGTCCTAGCCAAATCATAGGTTAGGTCAGATGATAGAAACTGAGCCCCAGTTTTACATACTATACAGTATGTATACCATTAGGAACTAAAGTCATATTAAAGGCTAAGTAGGCAAGAGAAACAGGTAGGAAGGAACATGACAGTCAAGTTGGTGAAAAACTAGCCAAAATCCTCAAGAGAGGGAAGGAAGTCTGTTATTGGCTTCCACAAAACAGATTCTCTTAGAATGCCAAAAGTCCAACATTGTTTTCTTGGAAATTTTATTCATGCATATATTCCACATCAAAGGCATCTGACTTGGTGTCAGACACTTATAGACTCAAGTTTTTCTTAGTTCCTCCCACCATATTCCTGCACAGTTTTTTTGGGTTGAGGATAAGAGCTTGGATTGTCATCCTACTTAGCAAGAGATTTATCTGAGGGGCCCTTGATGCTTTCTGAGTTTTCTTGTTTCCATACAGACACTTCATTACCCAAACTAGGTAACATCATCCGTGCTAGTATGATTTATCTGTTACTTCCTCAGCAGGAGGATTTATATTCCTATGCTGGTGAGGATTCTGGCACCTGCAGCCCCATATCACCAGGGGCAGCCCTGAAGAAAGGCTGACTTAAAGCTTCCCTGGATGTAAAACACAGGGGCTCAGGGTATGGACCACATTGCATCATCATCATCATGATCAGCAATTTTCATAATGTGCGGGAAAGACATTGGGTGACAGGTGAAAAAGGTGCTGCCTGGAGAATGGTCCAAAAAGAGATAGCATAGCCTGTAGATGCTTAGTGGGTGGAGCAAGATACTCAGAAGGGACCCATCTTAATTTTTCAGGCTGTAAAGGAGACTGTGGGAGAATTTTACTTTCAGACTTGCAAGACTCCTGTTCTATAGCTTTACAATAAAGTAGAGTTAGTTTATCTGGTTGTGTTTCCTGTCTGGTCTACCTGGTAAAGATGACTGCAGTGCACTTCATATGTGTAAATCCAATCATTGTTGGGTTTGTAAATATACTATATGGCATAATATTATGTGCCAACTAGGCCACTATGTTTATTTAAGAAGCATGGTTAAAACAATGCCTTCCCACAATGTGGGAACTCAGTCATGATTTCCCTATATGAAGAAAGGAGCGGAATGAATCAATAAGACCAGGTCTCTACTGTTCACTGACTTGCTCTGCTATCAGTACTCTAATCAAACTTGTAGTAAAACTTCACCAGTTCTTTAAAATGGATGTGGGCATCTTCTTTGTGTGATTATAGCTGACAGGAGAGGGCATAACTTCAAAATGGATCTCTCAAAAATAAATCAACTTATTTCCCCCTTATATCTTTGATTGAGTTCCACTAATAGCAACCATTACATACAGCAGAGATGCAGAAAATATACATTACCTGGATTCACCCATTACATCAATTCATGGTTTGTTGAACAAGTGCCAGTGGCAGACCACAATGACTGAGTTTACACAAACAACAGTGGTGGCAAGCTACTGTGGTAGAGTTTACCTGTTAACAATAAATAAATAAATAAATTATTAAACAATCAAACCACATTATGACTTAACATAGTGTGTGAACTCAGCCAATGAAATGAAACTAGTAGTGATCAAGAAAGTCATTAAGTAAGTCTGTTCCCCCAATGTCTGTTGGAAGTCAGCTGGGAAGATTGTACATCACAATCACATGACTGCAAGATGCTGCATAATTGTCGGAAATGCAAACCAGTTGCCGAAGTGCTTGAATTCTGACCATGTGACTATGGGATGGTGTGATGGTCATAACTTCAAGGACAGGTACTACAGTAAGTCACTTTTCCCAAGTCCATTGTAACTTCAAACTCTTGTTAAATGAAGTCATAAGTCGAGGATTATCTGTAGCTGATCAGATGACTTTCTATCTTTCACCTTCTTGGTATATATTTGGCTTTGGACTAATTGCTTTCTTCTTGTAGGCTGCCTTATTCTTTTTTCTCAATTTAATAATCTGCAGAACTTGACAACAAAAGCACGTTTATGTTTCTTCATTATGCCTGCTCAAGTTTATCTTGTTTGCATGTGTTTTTAAGGTAATTTTATAAGCCTAAATAATTAAAAAAAATATTTTGGATATTTGTGATTACCCTTCCATCTTTTTAATGAGATTCATTGAAGTACTATTTCGAAGTCTGGAGGTGAGAAAGGAGTAAATAATAATGATACAACATCATCAAACAAACTGCCCAGGGTTGTCTTATCAGGGAGATAGGCAGCATATAAATTGAATAAATAAAAAAGTAACAATGTCTGCCTGTCCCAGATCCAGAAAGACTCAATAGGTGGATAAAGATACCAAATCCTGTCTAAACAACTAATATTTTCCCATCTTTATTTTTGTACAAGTCAAAGTAGAGTACATAATACTTCTACCTATTTTTCCAACAACAACCTTGTGAGGTGGGTTGGGCTGAGAGAATTCGACCATATGCCTTTTATGAATTTAGAGCATGATACTGGTAGATACTCTTCATAGTAAAGCAAAGCATATTTTTTATACTACAAATTATTAGACTTGAATTATTAAATGGCTTTGAAATATTTCATGTCTGTGTTTCTATAGGCAGGAGATTTTTGTAATATACCCATTTCAGTAATAAACAAGGACTTACATGGTTTAGCATTCTAAAAGCTAAGAATAAATGCATTTATTCTTCAAAGGAAATATTTGAATATTTTTGTTTCATATCTGAAATTTAGTCTATTATATTTGGAATATCAGTATCAATTCATTATGTTTCTTTTGGTTCACTTCTTTGAATTGGTTTAATTAAACTACTAATACTACTAAAATTTCTTTCAACTCCTTTGTTTCTCCCACGTTAAAGGACTGGTGCAAGGAAGATCTATTTCCAATTGTTTCCTAATCTTAAGATTATATACATGTAAAAAAGTTTGCTGAGTTAGATTGGATTGTTTTGCTGAATTTTTCCTCTGTAAATAAATAACCAGTAAGTTCTAAATATACAGAAAATAAAAAGAACTACAATAAATTATACATGCATTTTCTTATTTATTTTTATTTTCTGAAAGTTATCAATTAATTATTTTGATTAGGTGTGATTACTGAGAAATATCTCTTGTTTGAACTAAACCTGTTTTTAGTTGCAAGCACTCAGCAAAGATATCAATGATTTCATAGCATACTGTGTAATAATAATAATAATGTAACCATGATAATAATAAACATCATCAGCACTAACAAAACCATTATTAGTCAATTCCAAAAGGCAACTTTACTTGCAACAATTTACATCCTGTAACAATACCTTTAACACCATTGAGGTACAACATCAAGCCAACTCAGAGTCACCTTGAATCATGAGTTGGGCAGTAAATAAATGTGATAAATAAAAATAAATAAAACATCTGGATATCTCAGACCTTGGGAAGGATAGGTGGATAGGTGGATAAAAATGCCAAATCCAGTCTAAACATCAATCCATTTCTTGTCAATTTTTGCAAACATTACTTTTGCAAACAAAAAACGTGCAGCTTTCACGCACATGAAAGAAACGTTTAAATCTTTGTTACACTCATGTCACATTTTAAACCAGTTTACTTTGCCTTGAAGCTCGGAATGTGTGGCTCTTGTGGACTGTTGACATCTTAACAAGGGGGCAGCCGAGGAAAATGAAGAGAAGGGAAGGGCTGCTTTCTTAGGGCCAAAGACCAAGGACAGTGAGTCATAAACAATTAGTTACTCTGGGTTTTTAATCTTGCTTTATGACTGTCCCCAGGCTGACAAACCCCCATCTAAGAACAGCAAACATAGAAAGATGGTTTGAGATAGCACGTGAAGCAGCTGGCACTGGTGTCTTTGGGACACAACACAGTCAACACTTCACCATTTCTTGAGCTTAATTGCTTTGTGACTCACATTGCTTCTACTTGTTGACACCAGAACTAACTTTGCAGATGGCACTTTGGACTGTGGAATCAGGATGTCACTTGGGGACAGACAGAAATTCCAGAAAGATGGTGGTAAGATTCTGTTCACACTGAGTAACTGTTGAAAAAGCCAGATCCAAACCTTGGGTGTACCTCACATAGGAGAGTGACAGCCATTTTACAAACTGGGTAGGGTTAGATTTGACAGGTGCCTGCTAAATATATTAGAATGCTATAATATTTAGAACTGTTCTGATGAAGATTAACCAGACCAGCCATTTTGGAGAAATAATTAAGATCTCCTATATTTACTAGATGCATAGAAGAGGATTTGGAACAGATTGTTTTTCACAGTGTTGAAAATAATAGATATGCCTTCTGTTGATAGAACAAAGCTGTGTCATAGCATTTCATTCCCTCTTCCTCCTTCCCCCCTCCCCCCCACTCTCTCTCATGCACACATACATGCGCGCGCGCACACACACACAGCACCTCCTTTTGGCCTCAGTTTCCTGAAAAGAAATCTAACTGTGGTGGCACAGTGGTTAGAGTGCAGTACTGCAGGCTACTTCTGCTGATTGCTGCCTGCCTGCAATTTGGCAGTTCAAATCTCATCTCAGCTGAAGGTTGATTCAGCCTTCCATCCTTCCGAG